CCCAAAGCCAGGACTTTGCACTGACCTATATCCCCAGCCCTCCTCTTCCCCAGCCTTGGTACAAGCTTGAGACAAGTGTGTTGCTTTCTCAATTGCTTACTGTACAACCTTCCTGCCTCAGCTCCCAGGCTGCTGGCATTATAGGCTTGTATCACAAGACCTTGTGCTTGCCAGGTAGAAACTTATGTCAGGGGCCAGGGAGATGGCTCAGTGGAATAAACACTTCCCTGGCAAGGGCAAGGGCCTGAGTTCAATCCCGCGGGGGAAAAAAACTTATGTCACTGAGCTATCTCCTCCAGCCCACATTCCCCACATTCCTTCAGTTAAATCAATTCACAACAACCTCTCCTTCGTCTTTTTTTGGCAGAACTGGGGATTGAACTCAGGCCCTTGAGCTTGTCAGGGAAGCACTTATTCCACCAAGCCATCACCCTGCCCCTCCCCTCCTTTGTCTTTTAAAGCACATTTTCAGCTGCTTTTGTGGAGCCTGAAAGGTAGCATGGGAGGGGCTAGGGCACATGTCTTCCAGGTGGACAAAGGTGGGGTACAGGTCCTGCTTGGGACGACCCTCAGCTCAGCCCAGAAGGCCATACCCACTCCCACCCTTCACACCCAGCCCCACAGCCAGACACCCATGCCTTGAGAGCATTTCCCTGACAATTTATTGAGGCAGGGTCTAGGTACTCTAGGCTGGCCTTGAACTCCCAGCAATCCTCCTGCCTGAGCTTCCTAGTGCTGGGATGACATTCATCACCACAGCCAGCAACATTTTTGCAACCCAGGTAATGATTACCTACCTTGTGGAATAAAGTTCTGTTAACTCCAAGTATAAGAATAAAAAATAGGGGCTGGGGAGATGGCTCAGTAGAATAAGCGCTTCCCTGTCAAGTGCAAGGGTTTGAGTTCAACCCCTGGTTCTACAAAAAAAAAAAAAAAAAAAAAAAAAAAAAAAATTATGGAACCAGTTGTGGTGGCATACACCTGTAATTCCAGCACTCAGTAGGTTGAGATAGGAAGATTGCTGCAAGTTTGAGAACAGCCTGGGGCCTACAAAAGTGAGCACAAGGCAGTCCAAACTGTATAAGGAGACTCTGTAAAAAAAAAAAAAAAATTTGTAAACACTGCAATTATGCCCAGTGCCAGAGCAAGTGCCTAGCATGGCTTAGCCTTGGGTTTTATTCCCCAGTACTAGGAAAGAAAAGGCAGATTGGCCTTATCAAAGCGGGGATTCCGGGGCCGGGGAGATGGCTCAGTAGGATAAGCACTTGACTAGCAAATGCAAGGATATGAGTTCAATCCCCGGTTCCGCAAAAAAAAAAAAGAAAAAAAAGTGGGGATTCCTTGTACCCCTGCTCAGTAATTGCAATTTCATAGAAATGCTGACACATTTAAGAAGGTTCAAAGGAGGTCCAGTGCTCTTCTGAAGAGCCCACACTGTAGGTTGGGTACATGCCTGCATTCCCATCACTGGAGAGGCTGAGGCAGGAGGGACACCAGTTGACCAGAATGATATGCATAGCAACACCTGTCTCAATAACAAAAAAACACACACAATGTGAGCTCTATCCTCTACTAGTGTGTTTTGTTGTTGTTTCTTTCAGAACCGGGGATTGAGCTCAGGCCCTTGCACTTGCCAGGCAAGCACTTATTCTTCTGAGTTATCTCCCCAGCCCCTCCTCTAGTTTTGTTTCGTTTTTTCTTTTTAAAAAAAATTTTAAATGTACTTAGTACAGGGTCTACAGGGTCTCACTACACAGATTGGACTCATAGTGATCCTCCTGCTTTTCAGCTTCCCAAGCGCTGGGATTACAGACATACTCCCCCATGCTCTGGGCGCGGGGCCAGCACCGCATGCTGGGGATCGAACCCCCAGTCCCTGCATCGGCTTAAGCACGTTTTTCTTGGTGCTAGTGACTGAGCCCAGAGCCCCACGTATGCTAAACACATGCTTTATCACTGTGTCCAGTACTTAGCCTCCTCAACAGAATAGTGTGTACAGTACAGTAGCTGCCGTTATATGCCCAGCACAGTGGCACATGCTTGTAACCCCAGCTAATCAGGAGGCCGAGGCAAGAGGATCCCAATTTCAGGCCAACCTGGGCTGGATATTGCTCAGAGGTATCAGGCTTGATTGATGCACACAACCCTCTGTGTTCAGTTCTCAATGTTGCCATGAAGAAGAGAGTCGAGTGCTAAGAACCTGGAGAGCCAAAGCACTCAGTGGTTTCACTGCAGGGAGCTTGGTCTTACCAACAACCTCAGAGCAACCTTGGGAACAGACCCTTCCACAACTGCACTCCCTGCTTGCTGTCTGTCCTGTCTTGTCCCTCCCTCCTTCTCTCCCATTCTCTCTCCCTTCCTTCCTTCACAGTACTAGGACTAAACTCTGGACCTTCACACTGAGCTACATTCTCAACCCTTTTTATTTTTAAGAAGGGTTTCCCTAAGTTGCTAAATTGCCCAGGTTGGGCTCAAACTGGTGATCCTCCTGCCTCAGCCTCCCAGAGTACCAGGATCACAGGTATATACCACCACATCTGGCTCCCTTTTTAAAAATTTTGGGGCTGGGTATGGTGGTGCATGCCTATAATCCCAGTGTCTGTGTGGTAGGGGGTTGAGTCAGGAGGATTGCTGTGAGTTTGAGGCCAGTCTGAACTACAAAGTGAGCTCAACACTAACCTGTGCTGTATAACAAGACCCTGCCTCAAAATGAAAAAGAAAAAGCAAGCAGATTTTCTCTAAATCACTAAACTGACCCAACTACAGGCCCCAGTAGCCTAATGTAATTTCTTTTTTTTTCATTTGGCAGAACCGGGGACTGAACTCAGGCCCTTGCACTTGCCAGGCAAGTGTTTATTCTACTGAGTCATCTCTCCAGCCCCTATCAGTAGCCTAATGGATAAGGCATGGGCCTCCTTT